ACACAAATAAGAAAATTAATTGTTGCATTTACTTGTAACAAGAGGCCCATGGGCCTTTTAGGTCACCTGAGCATTATTGCAACAACTTTCCAGTGATTGAATTTGATTCATGTTTTAAGTCAGATGCTATGGCATTCACAATTTTGAAAGAGGCATCATTGATCATCATAACTATACACTTAGCAGTTGCTTAGTTTGTTTACTGAATACCCATATACAGGGTAAGGGAACAAAAAATGCATTTCAACTAATCAGAAATTTTCAGCAATAATCAGTAGTGCCCCTACCACACATGAACCCCTGACCCTTAGGCCTTGTTATTTTATTAATACCAAGGAGCGGATTTCAAACAATTCATTCATTTTCAGTATATAAGTACAGCCCCCTCTCTATGGTACCCCTGACCCTGGGGCCTTGAAATTCACAATTCTGGAAGACATGGTCCCTTGTCCAGCATAACTATAGGTAGTTCATCTGCTTAATACCCTGGAGCAGAGAAGAAAATTTTCAAAGATTTAATGTATTTTCACAATATAATCAATAGAGCCCCACCCTAACACCAGAAACCCCTGGGGCTATAAAATTCACAATTTTGGAAGAGGCATTCTTGCTCATCATAACTATGTACTTAGATAGTTTATTTAATACCTAGGAGCAGAGAGGAAGATTTTCAAAGAATTCATGTATTTTCAATATATAATCAATATAGTCCCACCCTGACACCAGAATCCCTGACCCTGGGGCCAAAAAAATTCACAATTTTGGTAGAGGCACTCTTGCTCATCATAACTATGCACTTAGTTAGTTTATTTAATACCTAGGAGCAGAGGAGAAGATTTTCAAAGAATTCAGATATTATATAATCTATAGAGTCCCACCCTAACACCAGAACCCCTGTCCCTGGGGTCATAAAATTCATAATTTTGGTAGAGGCACTCTTGCTCATCATAACTATGCACTTAGTTAGTTTATTTAATACCCAGGAGCAGAAAAGAAGATTTTCAAAGAATTCATGTATTTTCAATATATAATCAATACAGTCCCACCCTGACACCAGAATCCCTGACCCTGGGGCCAAAAAAATTCACAATTTTGGTAGAGGCACTCTTGCTCATCATAACTATGCACTTAGATAGTTTATTTAATACCCAGGAGCAGAGAAGATTTTCAGAGAATTCTTGATTTTCACTATATTATCTATAGAGCCCCGCCCTAACACTAGAACCCCTGACCCTGGGGCTATAAAATTCACAATTTTGGTAGAGGCACTCTTGCTCATCATATCTATGCACTTAGTTAGTTTATTTAATACCGAGGAGCAGAGGAGAAGATTTTCAAAGAATTCAGGTATTTTCACTATATAATCTATAGAGCCGCACCCTAACACCAGAACCCCTGTCCCTGGGGCCATAAAATTCATAATTTTGGTATAGGCATTCTTGCTCATCATAACTATGCACTTAGTTAGTTTATTTAATACCAAGGAGCAGAAAAGAAGATTTTCAAAGAATTCATGTATTTTCACTATATAATCAATAGAGCCCCGCCCTAACACCAGATCCCCTGACCCTGGGGCCATAAAATTCACAATTTTGGTAGAGGCACTCTTGCTCGTTATAACTATGCTCTTAGTTAGTTTATTTAATAACCAGGAGCAGAGTAGAAGATTTTCAAAGAAATAATGCATTTTCACTACCTACTTATTTAACCCCGCCCTAGCACTAGAACCCCTGACCCCAGGGCCATGAATTTCACAATTTTTGTAGAGGACTCATTGCTAATTACAATCATGCAAACAGTTTGACTGCTTGATGTCCAGGAGTAAAGAAAAAGATTTTTAAAGATTGCACTAATTTTAGTGGTTTTGGCCCCACCCCTCAGGCCCCAGGGGGGCGGGGATCATGAAATTCACAATTTTTTGTTCATCTTTACCCATAGATGCTTTTTGCCAAATTTGGTTGAAATTGGTTCAGTGGTTGCAGAGAAGAAGCTGAAAATGTAGAAATGTTAACGCACAACGCACGACGCACAACGCACGACGACGGACGAAAACAGATAGCAATAGGTCACCTGAGTTAACTCAGGTGACCTAAAAATATATATGTCTCTACAGGAAGCGCAAAAGTGCGCACACAAAAATATGACATAAAGGGGGTGCTTAATTGGTAGGTTGAATTTTCGGAATTGGCGGAATTTACAATCAAGTTCGCCGGAATTCAATTCCCTATCAATCCCGTGTTGAGAGGTGGTGTGAAAGGAATTAAAGATGGCGACTACACAAATGCACATTTGCCGAAAGTGCAGATTAAAACATTATGAAGTTTTCCCTGTATTTGGACCATAATACAGTCCTATAGACCTATTTGCAAATTAAAATTTGATATTGTTCTCACAATATTATTCAAATCATGTTAATTGTTAAGTAATTGTTAAGCTGCACACAGCAAACATCATGATATTCTGTTCTTCACAGCATTCACTCGCACTTTCATCCTCCATTGCGTATTACAATAAATCATTTATTAAGAAGAAATTCTTTATTTGTTGAGCTGCAACCAATTGTGAACTAATTCTGATTCCAGTTTTACTTGATTGGTATAACTTTTGGAACTCTCGGAATTGAAATCTGACTTTACAATCAAGCACACCCATTATGATGTTCGGGTTATTGAAAAGACAAGCAAAATTAGCATTTTTATCCAAAAAGTGGAAATTATCATTAGGTGTATTTATCGTTAAAGCGTAAAACTATCCCAATCCAGGCTATGCGGTATAACTTGGGTAACTACTATCTTCAAAACCAACGCAAATGTTCCCTTAGAGTACTAGTATTACCATATAAAAACAGTCAATGATTGTTTACATATTGACGAATCAATTACAGATATATTTTATTGAAAAAAGATCAACAACAAAGCTTTATGATAAAGTGATGGCTTTAACTTTTCAATCGACAACTTCCCTTACTTAAACAGCAATATACCCTTATCACTTGCATAGGGGGTTTATATCTTTCAGTTGATTAGATACGCAAGAACATGATCTACGTATGGACAATTTCTTAAACGAGGCAAGTTATTGACAAACAAGTTGATGAAACAAGAATATCAACTGTCTCGTTTAAAGTAATCATTTCGTAAGTTTCTTAAGTTCTAGTTCAATGACTTTGTCAGCAAATACAATCTATCATTAAGTCAAATGCTAACTGACATTTTTATACTATTGTTAGGTCATTATATACACACCGATTTGTCGACGGCTTTTTCCTTTATTTCCCGATCTTATCTGATATGTCTAAAGTAAACGATATTTAAGGGATTTATTAAATTATATTACAGTAAAGATATTAAACTATTTTTTAAACTGTAAGTTGGCGATCTTCCATATCAAATTGCCTAACAAAGGATACATCTCTTCCCCAGCTTGGTTTCACTGGCGACAGAACAAACATCACTTTTTAACATCACCCTTCCTTCACTTAAAACCGTTCATGGTAGCTCAGTCGGTAGAGCGCCTGCGTGATCGGGAGGTCGTGAGTTCAATTCTCGGCCGCGACTGAATTAAGTCGCTAAAAAGTGGGTAGTAAATGTTCCTTCGCCATGCGACTTTGAAGTGAAAGTTGCGGGTCCTTCGGATGAGACCTTAAAAACCGAGGCCCTTTGTCAGCGGTAGGCGTTGGCACAATAAAGATCCCTCACTGCTCAATGCCCCTGAGTGCCGAGTAAAGGTCAAAATTTGAAGCCCTTCACCGTGACGTCTCCATATGAATGACAAATTCTCGAGAGGGACGTTAAACAATATACAATAAATCAATCAATCCTTCACTTAAACAATCAATCCAATTAATGACTAAACTACTGGCAAGGCTTTAATTTGTTTTCACAAACCGGGTACAAATTATTATAAGCTTCTGCAAAGAAATTTCCAAGATTTACTTTTAACGTTTCTTAAATACGACTGAGTCAACCATTTTTGTCACAAATGACCTACATATTGACGTCATTTTCACATTGTGACGTCACAAACATGGGGCAAAACATTTCATTACATATGCTATTTATAGAGTCTATGTGTACCAACTTTCATTCTGATCTGAATTGTGGTTTTGTAAATATAGAGATAGATCGCGAACTTTTTGATCACCACATACTAAAAAATGCTCTTGCATATCGAATTAACTGACAGATACAAAGCCCGTATGCAGGTGATGGAGATATATTGCTGCAAATTAAGTAAGGGAAGTTGACGCTTGAACAAATAAAGCTATCACTTTTATCATAAAGCTCGGTTGCTAGATTACCATCAAAGTCTTTTTCATATATGTAGATTCTATATATATATATACATAGATTCTGTAGTATCTTTAATCTGAAGCTCACAGGGATATATCGTATCGAATGAATGGAAATAACAATTGTTTATTGACAATGCATCGACAATTATATAAATCTCGAGTTAAATGCCACGGTAAGTGTTTTCTCCTTTTCATGTATAATATTTTGGACAATGATTTCAGAAAAAGGTCTGCTATTGGTACCCATGGGAATTCCAATAAATAGTTCGAATACCCATCCTGAGGATGTCGAATACCTGGCCCCAAAACCATAAACTGAGAATAGACTTAAGTCAAAATTTTAATTTTTAATATTTTCAGTTCCATTCGATGTATTAGCTTATAAGTTTGCAACTGTGTAAAATACTTCAATTCAAATATTTGTTAAAAGTTTTATTTTATAATCAAAATTATTTCCAAAGTTATATCAATTTGAAATTTTGACTTAAGTCTGTTCTCAGTTTATGGTTTTGGGGCCCGGTCTCCAAAAACCACATACCGGGTAGATATTGTCAATCAGATACTCTTGAAAGCATCTTTTTAATGTCAACTTCAGAGTACTTAAATTATATGACATCAATCAGAATGGTTTTTTACCAAAATAATTTTGCATTTGACAAAGTAGGTTCCATTTTTATTGAAAAAGCAGCTGTCAATGATAATAAAATACTGTATAGAGAACTGGCCAAAGTGATTCTTTGATATTGTTACATGTTATACAAATTTAAAAAAAATGAAGGGAAAAAAGTCTTGTTTAAAGAATATAGTATTGCCATTTCAAATATGTATACCTAAATGCATGTTTGTCCGCATCATTGTAATTAATAAAATATTAAATGTTATTAAAAACATAAGAAAAGAAATAAGAAAAAAAGACTCCATTCACACAATGTAGTTTTCACAAAATACGATATCAAGTTAATCTTTTTGTTAACACCATCGATGAAACCAAAACAGGTCTTTTAATTAAATGTCCAGTTCCTGAAGCCCCGCGAGATGCGGAATAGTTCCGGAGACAACGAAATCCGTCAACTGTAATCGGCCGTTAATGAAACAAACTGCTTTATCTATAACAGAAACCATTTTTTACTTTTTACATTTCCTAGGAACATACATGTATATTGTAAGGTTGATAGAATTATGTAGAAATTCTTGTTTGTAAATTCAAATTATATTAAATAAATATGATTTTCCAACAATCTACAGATTTGTTAGCTTTTGCTTATCATTATACATGACTACTTAACCAGTAAACACATCTAAAAATATTGAAGAAAAAATATACGAAGCACGCAAAAGACCAATATACTAGTATTCCAACAGTCATTTGTTACGTATACGGGGTACCCCCCAAACTAAGAAATGTCCCGTATATGAAACAAGTGTCTGTACCTATTTCCTATGTAAATGGAAATTCGGGATAGCCAATATCCATTTTAGTTATAGTGTCTAGTATTTATCTTAATTATGCACTATCATCATATAGCCGGTATGTCGTAATATTTTTAAGCGAAGGAAAAAAAATTATCTTTTTAAATAGAAATGATCATCACATGATTAACAACAGTGAGAGAAAGAGAGATCAAATGACAGAAAATAATTTTAGGCTCCCAATCATTGAAGCACAAAAATCTTTGCTAAAAGATTGAAGGGTGAACACTTTAGACACATTGTATATAAAAGAGATTGATATATCACGTGGTTAAAGTTAACCAATGAAAAATCTAAAACAAGTCACGTGTTTTAAATATATCCAGGTACTTACCAGGTTGTTTATAAGGTCGCAAAATCGACCCCGAGGCTTTACATTTATAGTTTCTGAATGAAACATGTTCGTCATCGTTCTTTCCCTCCTTAAAGAAAATAACTTTACTATCAACATTTTGCATTGTGATTAAATATTTTAAGTTTGCAAAGAGATGAAAAGCAAATGTGTTATTTTGAAACCTTCTCTCTACAAAGAAGCTTTCAGATAAGTTTCATCTTTTTTGGGGGGTGGGGGATGGGGGTGTTTTCTTGTTTGTAATTAGAGAAGGTTTTGATCTTTTTGGGGGGTGGGGGGAAGGGGGTGTTTTCTTGTTTGTAATCAGAGAAGGTTTTGATGGCCCCAGACCATTGTTTATTCAATAATAATATCTCTTTGGATTTATTACGGGTTAATGCATGGTATATTTGTATGGTTAAAATTGATATAGTGGTTTATGACCAGCCTGACCAATTTCAGTTGAAAAGTGTTTATTTGATGGTCATGATTCTTTTCCCTTTCAATTCTGTATGCTTTGCAGATTATCTCCAAGAAATATGTAGACAGTTGGCTGTTTTGTAAAACTATGTCTTTCTCTGCATTGATTTTTTAAAAATAGTTTCCTAATCATAATAAAATTATCAACTTTTTCAATTTTTTTCTATAAATCTCAAATAATGGAAATTTTTTTTTTTTTACTTTTAATGATTAGTTGATTCCTTAAAAACTAACCACTAAGTCGATAGTTTCACCATCGGGTGCCAATCCCAGGAACTTGGAACTTTCCGTCACAGACTGATATGCATACAAATTAAAGATACGGGAACCGTCCTCGCATTTAACGGTCCGGTGACGAACAAAGTGACCACCTAAACGTAACACAAGACATCAACAATGTGTTATAATTATCAGTAGAGTAAAGTATACCTTTTAAAATTATATTGAGTGATATAATTAATTTTTAATACGGAAATTCGTATTTCAATACTAGATATTGCCGTATTGCCGGTATAAAATATATGTCCCTACAAGTTGTTCTTTAAGATCAATATTACGACACATTCCTCAAATATCTGTACTATATGGAAAACAAGATGTGTTTGTGAAACACTATTGCGCCCGGCGGCAACAAAGTTCTAAAAAGCAATTTGTTGCAAATAGGTCACAGTAAAGGTCACACGATCATTGTCCTTAGTGTCATTTGAAAGCACTTAATTAGTGGAGTATGCATACCAAATATAAAGTCTCCATCTCCTATGGTTCAAAAGTTATGGCGAAAGTTCAGAAAAGCTATTTTTAGCATATAGGTCACAGTTAAGGTCACAGGGTCATTGACCTTGGTGTCAGTTGAGAGTGCTTAATTAGTTGAGTATGCATACCAAATATGAAGTCTTTATCTCTCGCGGTTCAAAAGTTATGGTGAAGGTTAAAGTTGAAAACACACAGACAAACAGATAAACAGATAGACAGGACAAAAACAATATACGCTCCGAATAAATTCGGGCGCATAAGTATTCACAATCATTATTATCTTGAGACTTTTAAAGTGTCTTCAAAATGTCTTAAAAATCAATAATTGTTAAAGTTTTTCAATGACAATTTTTTGGGGGAAAAAATATAAAATTGAGGAACGTGTCGTCTGACCTTAACAGTGACGTAGCATGCATTGTTTTTGAAAGTTTGGAGCCAAATGTGGAAAAATTTTTAACTAATACCTGAAAAAAGAGGAAAATTGTCCAAACTCGAAAATCCTGTTTCGTAGGGGATGCAGGTTGGGGAGGACGGTTAAAACTTCTTTTAGTACCATATATTTTACTCAAACATTGCATCATCCTTATATTTTTCTTATCTGACAGATCTGCAACCAAAACTGGGGGGGGGGGGGGAGTGATCGGCCTTTCAATATGAACATTTCCTTTAGAAAAACTTATGTCTGAAAAAAAAAGGTGCATCCCCACAAAAAAAGCTACCTTTCAAATTTTATCATAAGCGTTGGAACCGGAATGGGAGGGGGTTGCTTACCTTCCTGGCCTCTCAAATTTTTTGCAAAGATAGACATAGTAAAGGCATTGAACTTTGGGATGCATGTTTAGCCCCTCTCCCCACTTTCAAAACACACAGGTTGAGTGTATTCAAAGAATGGTAAGTGATTGATTTTGAAAAGAAGTTTCATCTTAAACACCCCCCCCCCCCACAAAAACGCACCCTCACATAAAAAAGAATTTTCGCGTTTGAACAATTTATTTTTCCTTTTTGGCTTTTCAATTTTTTTTTCCAGTTTTAATTTTTCCCTATTTCAATGCCTTCCCCCTTTCAATTGCTTCCTACCAAGTCATACAACATTTCACCGACAAATATTTTGGAATCAAATTCCAGTGTTTATAAATATAATTTTTTTTTACACAATTATTTGAACAATTCTGGAACGCAAAAATTAAAAAGAATTCCTATTAAAAAATATAATAACTTCGGATAAAACAAGAAGATTGGTAGAAATGATGAAGAACTCTTTTTCCAGTCCAGGCTTACTTTGGCGTTTCTTAAAATCATCCAGTCTCGAGAGTCGAAGGTGGCCGTCATCATTTATCAGAAATTGGCAAGCATTGGCGACTCTGAGTGCTGTTACCAACTGATAAGGGCTATCTGTTGGATTCTTTACAATTATTTGCAAGCATTCTACAAAATAAATTTACAAAAAATAAGCTGAGCATAAGAAAGGGGACATTTAGAAACTTTTTAAATAATATTTGAAATTTTTGTCATTTATCGAGAGAATATTGACGTTAAGTATTTGAGTGACATAATGGAGAATGGATTAATAATTTAATACCTAAATAAATATTTAATATAAGGTTACATCAAAGATGAAAAAGGTGTTTAAGAAATGTTCAAAGTATATTAAAATATAGGAAACATACTCTCTGTCAATTAATTAATTTATTTAGCTCTGACAATAAAATCCAGTTAAAATACTACAGAACGTGCCATAATTACCATCAGTTTCTTCGGACCAATCTATAAAAAAGACGAGTTGAAATACTACAGTAGTTTGTATATTTCTATCACAAAATGTGTTAAAGCAAAAAGTCAATTAATTCTTGATTAGGGGCACAACGTACATTAATCGTGATAATATTTTCTCCTGATATACATGTAGCATTAGTATTCATTTATTAGTGATGTTGTTTTTTTTTTACCTTCTAAAATGTTCTTTATACAAAATTTAAGCTTGAAGTACACATATTTCTCACTTTTGGGTCTGGGTCTGCATATCATCTATCAAGAAAAAAAAAATTGTAAAACTGCATTGGATATACAAGTATGAAAGCTCTGCATATAATAGAGCTTGAAATGTTTTTTTTTTAAATAAATTTAATAATTAATTTACATGGTTTATTTTTATTAAAATTTCTTTAGATGAATGAACACTGGGATAATTTCATAGCAAATCTTTATGTAATTATTTATAAAGATAATCATCATATCTAAAAAAAAAATAAGGTGGATCTGAGGTTTGATGGCTGGGTTCTGATTATGTATGTATTGCTGTAACAGCAAAACAGGATTACAGCGAGCACGCTGACAGGCGCGTAGCCAGGCGTACGTTTGTACGCAAAAACGTCCACATCATTTTTGAAAAAAAAGGGGGGGGGGGAGAAGGGGTAATGATAATTTCATGGCTCTTAAACTTTATACATCATTTTGCAATAAGTAATTAAAATTCATAAATATGTTTTAAGTAAAATTAATAATTTTTAAAATAAAAATAATGAAGATTTAGATTAGCGTTAAAAAATGCATGAAAATTACCAAGATATTCAGTTTAAGGGGGGGGGGGGGGCAAAGATATTATATGCACCAGTCCTCTCTGAAATCAAGATTTCCCCCGGAAATTTGTTTACTACTGATCATGAGTATAAATGAGGGTTTTTTTTTCTAAATGCATTACATTCTTATTTTGACTTTCCAATCATACAGCGATATTGGACAGATCCATTCTCAATATTGAGATTTTGTACAGAAACAGAACAGGCCTCAAATATGGGTGCGTAACAAACTTATAAAGTATCAGAGAAATGAGATCAGGAGGATTGATTATGTACATCCAAATTGTAGAAAATTCACTAGCTTCTGGGGGCTTCGCCCCCTCCTCCCTCCGAACAAGTTTTACCCTGGACCCACTTTGGGCTTGAAGTCGGCCCCTAAACCCCCTGCCTACTCGGGCGTCCACATCAAAAGTACCCTGGCTGATATTGAAATAACAATAAAAGCCATGTGATGAATTTGATAGATGTAACGAATTATGTCCAAATCATATCGCTGACCCCTGATAAATCGGTACAATTGTACTCTAAAATACTAGTCAAACCAATCTAATCCGTTCTAGATACCAGTCTTTTTTTAAGTTTTAAAAGTAGTCACCATCGTACTGGACTCGTCAAGCGTAACCTTCTTCTGGAAATAATCGATGACTTCAGCATGACCGACTGGTGGTAAGACGGAAACATCCTTAAAGTTCAGTGATACAAGGATGTCGCCATCTCTAAGAAAAAATTTGTATTTTATATTCATCAAAAAAGTAATTTAACAATGATTTTTTAAAAGCACTGTCAGATGCATTCGTGAGATATCCCCATATAGTACAATTCACATGTGACCCACTCTGTCTTTAACGAATTTTTCCCTAAATAGAATGTCAGAGTATTTTTCAAAGAATTCTAATCCACTCACAGAAGAGAAAGATATCAAATTCTGTAGCAGTTACCTGATCGACAAAGATTTGAACAGGACTCCATTTTGATCAACGTCCTCAAATTTATGAAGATAGGAGCCATTCTTCCTTTTTGTTGAACAGATAAAACCTCCTAAAGACACGTCTCTTTCGGTCTCCATGTTGGCTGCATGAACTTCCGTCCTAACTCTTTCCTCGCACTAAATATCGATATTGAGAAATGATAACCGAGTTTAGTAGATTCACTAAGATTTTATCGATAACATTTTTTAAAAAAAATATATACATGTATATATTTTACTTCCTTATTAAAGCTCTGTGACCCAATCGCCTTAATCTCAGAAGATTTACTATAATCATCAATTTACACTGTTAATGTAAAAGAAGTTTTTTACTCTCTGAAAACGTACTCAGTACTCTAATTTACATCTGTCCCAGAGAAAAACAAGATGTTTTTTGAGAAACAATATGCGCTCGGCGGCAACAAAGTTCGAAAAAAAAAAAATTAACATATAGGTCAATGTGAAGGTCATTGATATATACATTGGTACAGTTTGAAAGAACTTGATAAGTGGAGTATGCGTATCAAATATGAAGTTTCTATTTCTCATGGTTCAAAAGTTATGGTTAAGGTTTAAAAAAACTATTTTTAGCATAAAAGTCACAAGGTCACAGGGTCATTGACCTTGGTGTCATTTGAAAGAAATTAATAAGTGGAGTATACATACCAATTATTATGAAGACTCTATGTCCTATGTTTCAAAAGTTATGGTGAAAATTCAAACAAGAGGCCCACGGGCCACATCGCTCACCTGAAAATCTTTTGTCATATTGTTCTTTACCAGATTTCCCCCTTGTAATACATATTCTGGCCCCGCCCTACCCCCTGGGGTCATGATTTGAACAATTTAGAATCTACACTACCCCAGGGTGCTTCCACATCAGTTTCAGCTTTTCTGGCCCAGTGGTTCTTGAGAAGACGATTTTCAAAGATTTTTCCTATATATTTCTATGTAAAACATTGATGCCCCATTGTGGCCCCGCCCTACCCCCGGGGATCATGATTTGAACAATTTAAAATCTACACTACCCTAGGGTGCTTCCACATTAGTTTCAGCTTTTCTGGCCCAGTGGTTCTTGAGAAGAAGATTTTTAAAGATGTTTCTTATATATTTCTGTGTAAACCTTTGATTCCCCATTGTGGCCCCGCCCAACCCCCAGGGGTCATGATTTGAACAATTTAGAATCTACACTACCCCACAATGCTTCCACATGAGTTTCTGCTTTTCTGGCCAAGTGGTTCTTTAGAAGAAGATTTTAAAAGATTTTTCCAATAAATTTCTATGTAAAACTTTGATTCCCCATTGTGGCCCCGCCCAACCCCCGGGGGTCATGATTTGAACAATTTAGAATCTACACTATCCCAGGGTGCCTCCATATAAGTTTCAGCCTTATTGGCCCAGTGGTTCTTGAGAAGAAGATTTTTTAACGACCCCACCCTATTTTTGTCTATTCTTGATTATCTCCCCTTGTGAGGGGTCTTGACCCTTCATTTTAACAATTTAAATTTCCCTTTACCCAAGGATGCTTTGTACCAAGTTTGGTCAAAATTGGCCCAGTGGTTCTTGAGAAGAAGTCAAAAATGTGATAAGTTTACAGACGGACGGACAGCTAGACAGACAGACGGACAGACGGACGAACGACGGACAAAATGTGATCAGAAAAGCTCACTTGAGCCTTCGGCTCAGGTGAGCTAAAAAGCTATTTTAAGCCACAGTCACAGTCACAGTCAAGTTCACAAGGTCATTGACCTTGGTATCATTGGAAAGGGCTTAATTAGTAGAGTATGCATACAAAATATGAAGTCTCTATCTTTCATGGTTCAAAAGTTAAGGCGAAGGTTAAAGTTTGCAGACAAACAAACAGCCGGACAGATAGACAGACAGACAGACAGACAGGACAAAAACAATGTACGTCCTTGATCTATCGATCAGGTCGCATAAAAATTATTCTACGAAAAAATACAAGGACTGTTGATAAAACATATGCGGATCATTGCTTCAGTAGTAAGTATGATATTCCATGAGTGCATAGACAAGGATCGATCAATATATAATGTCAAGGGCTACTTTAAGATGAAAAAAGCACGTAAAATAGATTCTTAATGTTTTCATTCCCTCAAAGAATCCTATATCACCCTCTACACATGCCTATAAGTCCTTGGATCTATGACAAGAAAACCTCAGCACGCACATCTTTAAGAATACCCAAATGACACTGAGGAATAGTACTTCTCATGACAAATCCGAAATTGTACAATGTACTTAGTAATTATGTTCCCCAAACGAAGTTGGGGAACATATTGTTTTTACTCTGTTTCTTATTATTATTATTATTATTATTATTATTATTATTATTTTTCTTCTTCCTGGGAAAATTTTGTCCACGAGTGATCTTGTAAACTACACATCCGACTTATGTGAAACCTTTTTAGGGTCAGTAGGCATGTTATGTAGAGTTGCCAAACAAAGGTCATTTTGCGCGCACGTGCTTGCAAGAGCACGCACGTGCAACATGTGAAATTACCAATATAATGGATATTGCCATAACTTTTCTATTTTTTGATGATTTTTTTTTAAACTCTTAATGTAAGGATACATTAGTAGTATAGACAAGATAGCATGGTCAAAATAGCAAGATCTCACGCGCATGCACGTGCGCTTTGCTCTGATTGGCTGAAATTAAAGTCTCAATAACTTTCTTGTTTCATGTCATAATCCTTAGAAATTTTGAACATAGTCCTACATTATGAAGGTCTACCACATGATATATAAGAATTTTCATGAAAGCATGCGCATGTGCGCGTGCTGCAAGCTGATTGGCTGAAACTTTAAATGGCAATATCTCCTTTGTTTTTTGACGAAATTCTTTGAAATTTAAAATATAGTCATGCATTAGGGTATCCTACAAAATGATATAGAAAAAAAAATCATGAAATCACGCGCATGCACGTGTGCTGCAATCTGATTGGCTGAAACTTTAAATAACTATTTATGTTCCCCAAACGGAGTTTGGGAACATATTGTTTTTACTCTGTTTCTTATTATTATGTTCCCCAAACGAAGTTGGGGAACATCTTGTTTTTACTCTGTTTCTTATTATTATTATTTTTCTTCTCGGGAAAATTTTGTCCGCGAATGATCTTGTAAAGTACACATCCGATTAAGGGGAAACCTTTTTGGGGTAAGTGGGCATGTTATGTAGATTTGCGGAACGAAGGTCATTTTGCGCGCACGTGCTTGCAAGAGCGCGCACGTGCAACACGTGAAATGACCAATATACTTGAAATTGCCGTAACTTTTACATTTTTCGATGTAATGCTTTGATATTTAGAATATATAGACATATTATCAATGTAGATAAGATGACATTGTCAACATGCCATTTTGTGTGCACGTGCTTGCAAGAGCGCGCACGAGCAACACGTGAAATGAACGATTTAATTGATATTGGCGTAAATTTTTATCTTTTTGATGAAATGCTTTGAAACTCATTATATAAGGATATAGTAGTAGCATAGACAATATGACATGGTCAAAATAGCAAGATCTCACGCGCATGCACGTGCGCTTCGCTCTGATTGGCTGAAACTAAAATCTCAATATCTTTCTTGTTTTTTGATGAAATCATTTGAAATTTTGAACATAGCCATGCATTAGGATATCCTACAACATGATATACAACAATTTTCATGAAAACACGTGCATGCACGTGCGCTGCAATCTGATTGGCTGAAACTTTAAATAGCTATAACTCCCTTGGTTTTCAACCAAACAGGATGGGATTTGGAACATAGATAGATATAATAGACTTCTACAAGAAGGTTTGATCACAATGCACATCCATACACGTGCGTGAACGTACACTGCGATCTGATTGGCTGAAACTTTAAACAGCTATAACTCCCTTGGTTTTCAACCAAACGGAGTGGTATTTAGAACATGTAATGGACTTCTACAAGAAGGTATGTCACCATGTTCATGTATGCACGTGCGTGCACGTGAAATGAGTAAAATCAAAAATACAATTGAATGAGCGTATTTTTTAATACTTTTGGATTAATTACTTTTATATTTAGTATATTAAAGTATATAGATTGTGTAGACAAGATGATATGGTCATTACGCACATGCATTCACATGCGCACGCGTACAATGCTAAAATTTGAATGAACTTGGTACCCTTCTTGTTAAAGTCTCAAATGCATAAAGTTTGTTTTATTTAATGAAGCTTACAGGGAATATGGCACCAAAAGGGAAATGGGGAGCGTTTGGGGAACATCTGTAACGGTCCCCGTTACAATTAGCACTAGTTATTATTATTTTTTTTTTTTTCTTCTCGGGAAAATTTTGTCCGCGAATGATCTTGTAAAGTACATATCCGATTAAGGGGAAACCTTTTTAGGGTAAGTAGGCATGTTATGTAGATTTGCGGAACGAAGGTCATTTTGCGCGCACGTGCTTGCAAGAGCGCGCACGTGCAACACGTGAAATGACCAATATACTTGAAATTGCCGTAACTTTTACATTTTTCGATGTAATGCTTTGATATTTAGAATATGTAGACATATTATAAATGTAGATAATATGACATTGTCAACATGCCATTTTGTGTGCACGTGCTTGCAAGAGCGCGCACGAGCAACACGTGAAATTACCGATTTAATTGATATAGACGTAAATCTTTACTGTTTTGATGAAATGCTTTGAAACTCATAATATAAGGATATAGTAGTAGCATAGACAATATGACATGGGCAAAATAGCAAGATCTCACGCGCATGCACGTGCGCTTCGCTCTGATTGGCTGAAACTAAAGTCTCAATATCTTTCTTGGTTTTTGATGAAATCCTTTGAAATTTTGAACATAGCCATGCATTAGGATATCCTACAACACGATATATAGCAATTATCAAGAAAACACGTGCATGCACGTGTGCTGCAATCTGATTGGCTGAAACTTTAAATAGCTGTAACTCCCTTGGTTTTCAACCAAACAGGATGGGATTTGGAACATAGATAGATATAATAGACTTCTACAAGAAGGTATGGTCACCATGCACATCCATACACGTGCGTGTACGTGCGCTGCAATCTGATTGGCTGAAACTTTAAATAGCTATAACTCCTTTAATTTTCAA